AAACTCTAATCATGGTAATAATAATGCACCAAAGAACCCTCCTCACCACCAGCAGTGAAAAAGGAAGGAATAAAAGCATGAAGCGGTGCAAGCAACAAATGCATAAAATGCATGCTATAGATGTGGAGGAAAAGGGAACTGGTCACGTACCCGTCGTACGCCAAAGCACCTGCTTGAGCTTTATCAAGACTCCCTAAAAAAGACAGAGAAAAATGCTGAAGCAAATTTTATTTCTGAAGATAATTTAAACTTCATGCATTTGGATGTAGCTGATTACTTTGCACTCCCAGAAGGAGAAACAAGTCATGTGATCGGTAATGAATCTGTAGAAATATAAATATTTTAATTTTTATTGTTTGTAGTAGATAGTACGGTTATGTAATTGTTGTACATAAATAAAAGCTATGCTTTGATAATGATGTTTATTATAATATATTTTGTTTATGTCATTTTGAAGAATATGGATAATGCTCAAATTATGTTTGGATCAAAGACCAATCATGAAGATATTTGTATAATTGATAGTAGAACAACTCATGCCATATTCAAAAATCAGAAATACTTTTCATATTTGCATAGGGAAAAAGCAAATGTTTCCACAATTTTTGGTAAATATAAGTTTGATTGAAGGCTCCGGAAGAGCCACTATATTTCTGTCTAAGGGAACAAAATATATTATAGACAATGCATTGTTCTCCTCCAAGTCCCGAAGAAACTTGTTGAATTTTATAGATATCCGCCGAAATGGGTATCATGTTGAAACAATAGATGAAATGAATGTGGAATATCTTTGCATTACAAAGAATGTTTCTGGCCAGAAGTGCATTGTAGAAAAGTTACCAACTTTATCTTCTGGCTTATACTATTCAAAGATCAGTACAGTTGAAGCATACTCTATCATAAATCAGAAGTTTACTGATTCAAATACTTTTGTGCTTTGGCATGGCCGCTTGGGCCATCCTGGATCAATAATGATGAGGCAAATTATTGAAAATTCGAGTGGGCATCCATTAAAGAACCTGAAGATTCTTACAAATGATAAATTTTCTTGTGATGCTTGTTATCAGGGAAAAATGAACACTAGACCATCACCAAGGAAGGTTGGCATGGAATCCCCTGCCTTTTTAGAGCATATACATGGGGATATATGTGGACTTATTCACCCACCAAGTGGGTTGTTTAGATATTTTATGGTCCTAATAGGTGCATCTTTAAGATGATCTCATGTGTTCCTACTATCATCTCGCAACCTAATGTTTGCAAAGCTATTAGCTCAAATAATTCGATTAAGGGCACAATTCCCAGATTATCCTATAAAGGCTATTCGCCTTGATAATACTGGAGAATTCTCATCTCAAGCTTTTGATGATTATTGTCTATCATTTGGGATAAACAACAGTTGAACATCTTGTAGCTTATGTTCATACTCAAAATGGCCTTGTAGAGTCATTTATTAAACGTCTGCAATTGATATCAAGACCACTACTTATGAAAATAAAATTGCTCACTACTGTTTGGTGCCATGCTATTTTGCATGCAGCATCACTTATTCGTCTCAGACCGACACATTATAATAAAGATTCTCCTCCACAATTAGTTTTTGGTCATGAACTAAATATTACTCATCTATGAATTTTTGGATATGTTGTATATGTACCAGTAGCACCACCGCAATGCGGTAAGATGGGCCCCCAGAGAAGGTTAGGAATATATGTTGGGGTTGAATCACCCACTATTATTCGCTATCTTGAACCATTGACGGGAGATTTATTTATTGCTTGATTTGCAGATTGTCTATTTGATGAAATAAATTTTTCACAATTAGGGAGAGAGAAAAAGAAAATCGAAAGAGAAATTCTATGGAAAGTTTCATCATTATCTCATTTTGATCCACGTACCCCTATATGTAATCAGGAGGTCCAGAAGATCATCCATTTATAGAATATAGCAAATCAAATGCCAGACGTATTTACTGATTTGAAAAGGATAACTAAGTCATATATCCCTGCAGAGAATGTGCTTATCCGAATTGATATCCCAGCGGGACCCACTACTAGCGTGAGAGCTAGTGAACCAAAAACACGCTTGAAGCGTGGTAGGCCTTTGGGTTCTAAAGATAGAAATCCTAGGATAAGAAAATCGATAAATTATCAAAATTATATTATAAAGGGATATCCCGAAGAGACCCAAGATCTGATTAGTTCTGAGATTCTTGAAGAAATAAATGAACCCGAGATTCAAGTGAGCGAGGAAATTTTAATAAGTTCTACTGGTGATGAGATTAATTTAAATCGATCTGAAATAGTGGTAGATAATGTTTTTGCATATAATGTTGCACTTAACATTATGCAAGATAGTGAGGATCTTGAACCCCGATCTGTCGAAGAATGTCGACAAAAATATGATTGGCCAAAATGGCAAGAGGCAATTTAATCATAATTGAACTCACTTGATAAAAGTGAGGTCTTTGGACCAGTAGTCCACACACCTGTCGGTATAAAACCAGTTGGTCATAAGTGGGTTTTTGTGCGAAAAGGAATGGTAAAAATAAAATTAAAAGATACAAGGCTCGCCTTGTCACACAGTGATTCTCATAACGACCTGGAGTCGATTTTGATGAAACATATTCACCTGTTATGGATGCCATAACATTTCGATATCTCATCAGTTTAGCCCTACATGAAAAGCTTGAAATACATCTAATGGATGTAGTTACAGCTTATATGTCCGGTTCACTTGATAATAAAATTTACATGAAAATCCCTGAAGGATTTAAAATGCTTGAAGCAAATTCAAAATCTCGGGAAATGTATTTAACCAGATTACAAAGATCTTTGTACGGTTTAAAGCAATCTGGGCGCATGTGATATAATCGCCTCAGTGAATATTTGCTAAAAGAAGGTTACATAAATGATTTTGTCCATGTATTTTTATTAAAAAAATGGCATCAGAATTTGTTATACTTGCTGTTTATGTTGATGACATAAATCGTGTTGGAACTCCAGAAGAGCTCCAAAAGGCAACTGAATATCTTAAGAAAGAATTTGAGATGAAAGATCTTGGAAAGACAAAACTTTGTCTTGGTCTGCAAATTGAACATTTAGCAGACGGGATCTTTATCCATCAATCTGCCTATACAGAAAGGGTCTTAAAATGCTTTTAAATAGACAAAGCGCACCCATTGAGTACACCAATGGTTGTTCGATCACTTGACGATCTCCAGAAGAGGATGAGGAACTCCTTGGTCCTGAAATACCCCATCTCAGTGCAATTTGTGCACTTATGTGTCTTGCTAATGCTACAGGCCTAATATAGCATTTTCTATTAATTTACTAGCAAGATATAGCGCTTCTCCTACACGGAGACATTGGAACAGGATTAAGCATATATTGCGATATTTAAAGGGAACTCTTGATATGGGTTTGTTTTATGCTAACAAAGGTAGTGCAAATCTTGTTGGTTATGCAGATGCAAGTTATTTATCTGATCCCCATAAAGCTCGATCTCAAACCGGGTACGTGTTTCATACTGTCATATCATGGCGCTCCACAAAGCAATCTAGTCTTGCTACTTCTTCAAATCATGCTGAGATAATAGTTATTCATGAAGCAAGTAGGGAATGCGTATGGTTGAGATCAGTGGTTCATTTCATTCAAGAAAAATGTGGTTTGGAATATGACAGAAGACCTACAATTTTATACGAAGACAATGTTTCATGCATAACCCAATTGAAGGGAGGATTTATAAAAGGAGATAGAATGAAGCATATTTTACCAAAATTATTCTACACACATGATCTTCAGAAAAATGGCGACATTGATGTACAACAAATCCGTTCAAGTGAAAATCTGGAAGATTTATTCACTAAATCTTTGCCAACTTCAACTTTTGAGAAGATGGTTACAAGATTGGAATGTGAAAACTCAAATATTCGAAACACGGTTTTTATCAAGGGGAGTGAAATACGCGTTGTACTCTTTTTCCCTTACTAAGATTTTTCCCATGGGGTTTTTCTTGTAAGGTTTTAATGAGGCAGTTAGAAATGCGTATTACTAAATATGTGTACTCTTTTTCCTTCACTAGGATTTTTTTCACTAGATTTTTCCTAATAAGGTTTTAACGAGGAACATTATCTTTTAATGAACATCTAAGGGGAAGTGTTATGAAAATATTATATTGTGGATGTCCATTTATTATCACGCTATAGATAATCTTCTCGAAGAAGATTATCCATTTAGTACTCCATTGAAATTTATCTACAAGCAGCTGATGCAGGCAGGTTGCAAGCAACTCAATGAAATGACTTGCAACAACTTCTTATTAAACTGGCAGGTTGCGAGCAACAACAACTTCTTATTAAACTGGCAGGTTACGAGCAGCTCATGCAGACAACTTACAAGCAGCTCAAGAAAAGCCCCGCAGCTGCTTCCTGAAAAGTCTCGCAGCTGCTTCCTTTCTTCTATAAATAGATGAGATTTCAGTTCATTATGTACATCAATTTAAAGTTGAATAATATATCAACTTCTCTCAACACTTATCTTTAGTTTATTTACTTTACCGTCATTATTTTATAACATCTAGCTCATTTCTTCTGTCACCATATTTTTGAACCGCTTTGCCTTCAAAATTAAGTACTACTGTTGTATCCTTGATATTTCCTAATTTCTGTCTACTCAAACTTGAAGAACTTCCTAACAAGTACTTTCGTATTACAAACATTCTTAATAATTGTTACGGTGATTAATGTAATCAGTTCTTTCACATTTCTTATTGACTACTATGGAGTAGTAAAGTCAAATATTTATCTGCAAGTGAAATTACTGTTGAATATTTTTACCTGCGGGCTGCGGTCCACTTTGACTATTAGCCATAAGGATGTACTAGTAAACTGTGTTTCTTAGAATTTAAATTAAAAGCTACACTTGTACACTTGACTATGATATGGAAGATATTCGAGTTATAATCAAAACCAAAATCATTAAATTATAAAATCATACATCTTTTAAGCATAACATACTCTTTCAATTGATAGACTGTAAGTATTCGAGTATCTGGAAGTGCATTGATCAAGCGAAGCTATTAAAAATAAACAGCATGGTCTTCCCCCTTTTACAGGCCTAGAGAGTTGGTGAGGGACTGTGAGCGGGGTTCTTGGGGGGGGGGGGGGGACAACAAAAACTTAGCTTGGACTACTGGTGGATTACAAGTTATAGTTATCTAGTCCAAGATCCCTAAGTGCATCAGTTGCAGCATTCTTACAGCTCTTGTGATTCATCTTAGCCTTTCTGATGAGCTTCTCAATGCCATTACCAAGCAAAATAGTTCTGAAAAAAAACATGAAGTAATTTCATCAAGGAGCTTCACAATGTCAAAACTACTTATTTCCTAGGAAACTGGCTGACAAAAACTTACCAGCACCCAATGTTTGCACCAAACCACATAAGTTTACCATGATGTGGTGACATTAAGGTGAGAATATATATAAACTAATCAGGATTAAGTGATTAAAGTTTGAGTAAAAGATATATATAATGCATTATAGGTTTGCTACAGATGCCAGGTGCGGAAAGTTTTTTCTGGCCGTCTACCCTTACAAACTGGCACATCAAATCCTTAACATATCAGCAGAAAGAAAAAAAAAAAAAGTCTAGTGGGCACTTGCCTGTTTTCTGGATTCCTAACCACAAGATTTCGAATCATGAAACAACAGCTTTTTAGCAGTTGGTCTGATTCTGGAAACCTCTGCATAGCTTGGATAACAGTATCACCAGCTCCAGCTTCAACTGCACGGGCAGCATTATTTGGAGACCTCAAGGACAGTACGGTAATCATAGACATGACCTGGAAAATGGAAAGAGCATCAAAGAGGTGTTATGGTGACTAAATTGTGTGCATGCAGATAGTCCTGTTTTCACGTATAACCATCACCGCATCAACATTTTCCACCACCAGTCACTAAGGGGAAAACTTGTGTGTAATTTATTATATATATAAAATATAGTATCAGAGAGTGAAACTAAAAAGAAATAACTACTCGTATGGTTGCATTTTTAACCTTCTGAAGTTTCTAACTAACAAGGTGGTTGGAAGGGTATGACCGGAAGAAAAATGTGACGAAGTGTTGCACTAACCGGCTTTCCCTCAATTGTTGTAGATTATCATTATTGGGCGACGGGTTCCAAAAATTGCAGTAGCTTCCANATATATATATATATATTTGTTCTTCTTAGGTGATTCTTTGAAGTCATCATATAATAAAAAGGGGTTCTTTTTATCCAAAACAAAGGGGGTTCTCTCAGTGTTGTGAAAAGCGGGCGCTTCCTCGCTAAAAGCGAGAAGCGAGGCGAGGCGACCCATCGAGCGCTTCTGCTATCTGAAGCGTAGCAGGTATTCAAAAGCGCTCGCTTCCCACTAAAAAGCGAGAAGAACGATGCGAAGCGATGCGTAAGAAGCGTGCGCTTCTCTGTTTTAAAGGGCTGCCAGCCTATTTAATTAAAAAAGATATTCTTTTTTTATAACATATCGACCAGCTGCAACAGAGAAAGAAAGAGGCGACTAGGGGTTCAAGTTTTCTACACTTTTCAACTTCAAGATCATCAAGTTTGGTCCAGGTATGTGCTTTCTTCTTCCTTCTTCCTCTTCTTTTTCTTTTTCTTTCACTGTTTCAGCGTCCAAATAGCAGTGAAATGCTGGCGAATTTTTTTTTTCCCTTCAGTTCTTCTTTCTCATTCTTCTCCTCTTCCTCTTCTTCATTTTCTTGCACTGTTTTTTCGTTTGAAATGCTGCCCATTTTTTACTGGAATGGTATACTGCCCTTCTTATTTTTATATCATTTATTCTTAGTTCTTATTGCCTTTCTTATGTGTTATTTAGTTGTTCTTTTAGTTATCCGCTTCACTTCAAAAAAGCGAGCGTTTTGCTTCTCGCTTTAAGCGAAAAGGGGGTTGTCGCTTTTTCTCGCTTCACGCTCTTCACAACACTGGGTTCTCTTAACAATGACTCAATCAGTCAATTGATGGAGGTCTTTGATATCCAGCCATAACTCTCCATGCCACCCTTTTCTAGAGAATAGTGATTTGGAGAAAATTTATGTAACAGCTAATGGTATTACCTCTTGTAGCATAGACGGATCATCAGAAAATCTTGTTGCAAGTTTAATAAGCTTGTCCATGCCACCCTTTTCTACAATAGAACTCTTGTTTATGTCACTTCCTGCCAACTGCTCACTATAATATATTAAAATTTAATTTTAAGTAGGAAGACAAATAGCAGATAATCAGTTTATAAGGACCAAAAGAAAGTTGAAGTTACATGCACAGCTTGAAACATGATTCAGACTATTCAATCTACATAACACGAAAAATTCAATTTGTATATCAGAAACTAAATATAAAGTGTACAAATATGCTATGAGCAAAACTTCTGAGACAATTGGGACTTCTAGCTACATCAATACATAGGCACAATCAGATGCTAAAATTAGCCAATCTGCCATATCAAAAGGAATCATGCTTACATTACCAAATTTTCATGGAAGATAAACATATATGTTTGAATAAATAATCAACTTTGCACCTTAGATAACAAGGAGCAACAAGTTCTGGCTACAACTTTTTCACCCTGTTCACTGCTGTCATCTATGCATCGAAGAATTGCATCTATACCACCATTATCAGCAACAGCTCTGCATATTTCATCCTAAAGCCAAAAGTAGGACAGAATTAACAATTAGGAACTACAAAGCAACTGACTCAAACTTACAAGTCCCTGACTATAGGAAAAATGTTATGATCATCAGTTTGTTATTAGTGGAGCCAACGGCAGCTAAGAGAACTTACAACTAATGCCTTGCCACCTAGCTGAGTACATGCTATATGCAGTTGCTAATTTTAAAAAAAAAAAATTTCTAAGGGTTGAAATAATATTCACTTTCTCAAGATAGTAGTATTTCCTTCAGAGCTCATTTATTTTTATTGCACCTTGCATAAGATAATTTATACCTTAATACTGCTAGTCAAGGTACGCATTGTGTATTATGACTAAAGTAGCAATCTTCCAAGACAAGATGAGTCATCAAAGTGAAAATTAGCAATAAAAATAAAAATGGAAAATTGACAACTAGCTCCTGAAAATGATCGGTTAACATTATTCTGTACCTTTAATACATGCGGACTAGTGACAAAACGGTCTCCTGTTTTAAAGACTCATAAGCCCATCTAACGAGGTTAGTCAGTTGACGACAATGCTGCAGGGAAAATTTGATTAACTACTGTTAACGTGGATCTATGTTAGCATACAACAACTTATCACTTACAGGGAGGGAGAGTGCACAGATATGGAAGGGATAGTGTATTTCTTTTTTTTATTGTTGAAGGTAGTAGTTTATTGATTCCAGCAACAAGCGTTGTAAGATAATCACATGAGGGCCTACATTACGAATAGTGTAATGACTAAAAGGGATAGTGTATTATGACAGATCCAAGGAAGATTTAAGTTTAAGGGGTTTAAGAATGCTGATATGCAAAATGCAAAGTATATAATTAACATATTCCTTGTGTCTTAAATATATTTCTTACATTATTCAGTACTTACATTAACAGCAACAGCCTTCAAAGCAATGCTTGCAGACACCAGACTAGGCGACTTGATCCCTTCATGAAGTGAACCAACAAGCACTTCGACAATTCCAATTTTGGCAAACCTTCTGGCGTACCCGTAAACCTACAGTTGAGAACAATAACATTTACACAAAGTCTCACTGTTTAAAGCAAGCCTTAGAAATGTAAAAAATTCAATCATGATTGTTAAAGCCATATACTCTCTTAAGGTCGGCCTACCATACCAATTCAACCAACTCCCACCCCAGTTGATATCTTCATAACCCAGAACATTCATAAATCAGTAAATAAGTGGATCTAGGATAAGCAGTTCAAGTTCCATATTAATACAGCATCCTCCATTTGAATGTATAGTTGGTTTATCTGGAGTCAAGGGTCATTGATCTGCAGTTCAATCATTGGGTCAGCAATAATGGATTCACTAAAAATATATTTTTCTCCTCAAATATGAATGTATAGTTGTTTTGTTGAAAGTCAATTTGAACAGGTTTGAGAGATAAATAAAAAGATGAAGCTGCAAATCTTCACTTTTAAAGAAAACCAAATAATAAAAGAAAACTGGTCAAAGATGATCAAGCTTAAATTTTGAAGAGCGATATGTGTCATTTAGTTTGCCACAAAAGAACTTATAATCTAACAATTTACTCCGTACCTCACAGTTCCTTTTTGGTTCTACATTTAGTATATTTACTTTACATATTAAAAAAAACTAAGAATTTTGTCACAATATGATGTACGACTAGCATAATGCAGCTCTTATTCAGGTGATATAATCAAGGTTGTCTGGAAATATAAAATAGGGAGAAATCTTCAGTTTTTCTATAGTTCATGTGGTAATGACTGAGTTGCTTTTGTCAGAAGTGAGCGCCGATGCAACGATACAACCTGAAAGACTGCTCACTCAGAAGTGGTGCTTTTGGGAACTTCATCATATACTGGTCCAGGTCACAGATCATATTTATCTTGTTCAGTTTCAAAAATTAGCTTGATCCCAAACTTATTAAAGAATAGAATAGGTTGCACAAATCTATCCATGTGAAGTATTCCACCTGTATTATGGTGACAAAACTCTGGATCTGATGAGCAATTAGCATGAAATAGCAACTACTACTATAAATGTTTACTTACTTCAGAGGCCACAACACGATTATCATCAGATGTTAGCAAGACTCGTAAAGCGTCATATAAATAAGGAATGCCCCCCCTATTATATTCTCTTAAACATTGAAGAATCAGCTCATCAATTTTCAAGTTCATAAATGCCTCCTTGAGGACCTCATTACCAGTTGCAGCCGCAGAAACAACAGACAATCCACTGTTCAAGATGCTTATGTTTTCTTTCCTATTGTTTAGGATATTCATAACCATCTTTGGGCCATTACTCTCTCTAAACATTTCAGTGCTCTGTAGATCTGCACATGATACAATTATGCATATTAGACATTTACCACAGATAATATCAACTTTCCCATTTAGACATAAGGGCATGAAAAACTGCCAAAATATTCAACCATAATTATACAAGTATGGAACTGATATTTAGGCAGTATGAGTCACATGTCTATGTGTCATCTCATAAGCAAATCAAAATTATAACAACAACAACAACAACACACCCAATGTAATCCCACAAGTGGGAAGCGAATGAAAATTAAAAATTATGACTTGAGAAATTTCTACATTACGACTTTCAAAATATTACAACACCCACTAAGCATAATCATTTCATCCTCTAAACCTGCTACTGATGCATGAAAAAGTGTAAATAGATGCTGTCATGTTGATAGGTCTGCAACAAACAAGTCCTAGTCGTCCAAATAATGTATTAACGACTAATGCTTCAGATAAGAAGTAGGAACTAGGATTTGCTTTCTCAAAAGCAATATCAGCTCAAAAACCTTCTTTTTCTGTTTGTGCTAGACGCATGCCTCCAGTAAATTACAAAGAACAACTGAACGGAAACAAAAAAGATCCACAATTTTAACCCAATTAAAAGCATTCATTGTAAAACACTAAAACTATAAGTAAACATTTCATTAACAAGAACAAGGACTAGAATTGCGATGTTCAGTTTCACGGCCAATATAAAATAGTGGAGTAAGAAAACAAGTATATGTGCTGAAAATCTGACAGCATGTGATTGAAAAAAAAGATGTATTACATCTGTGAGAAGGCACGGGAGAAAATATGTTATTGATATATTGAATGAATGCATAATACTACACAAGAGGTCCTTATTTATAGCTATACTATACAAGGACATACTACTACTCTACCAATGTGGGACAATACTACACTATATACATGCTGTAAATTAACACTCCCCCTCAAGCCGGTGCATACAAATCA